TGGTTGCCTGAATACATCACTATGTCTCTACTTAAACTCTCCTTCGGCAGATAACAACTTTACATCCATAATATGATTCATACATGACACCGGATCCTAGAAGTGATCCTTGAAAGCTGAAAAGATTGCTTAACAACATTGAGATGTAATTATTCAACTGAGCATAACTCTGTATCGCCTGCCTGTAAAAATATGCTACGTTGCTCCAATAATGCAATATAAATAAATAAGTATAGATGTCAAAGATTATTCCCAACCTTTAGGGGCAAAAGGTTTTTGTTCATGGCCCTAGATTAGGAGACTAGTAGGGCAGTGTCAGGCTCGCAGAGATGGGAAAAAAGAAAGGAAAAACAATGCTTTTAAATTTCCCACCTCATTGAGACCTTACCCTAATGTACATATAGAATTAAAGACCTGTTAATTTTTAGAAGAGAGACAGGAACAATTGTTAATTTCATGTGATTTGTATCCGTTCTTCTGAAATATGTTTCATACTGCAGCAAAATATGAACTTAACTATTACTTGCTTCAGTATCTGAAATTTTTTATTAAATTGTTTTAAAGAGAGGATTTCAGAAAGAGATGAGATTTAGGGCCCTTCCAGACAGCCCTATATCCCAGAATATCAAGGCAGAAAATCCCACAATATCTGCTTTTAACTGGATTATCTGAGTCCACACCCTATATATTCCAGTTCAAAGCAGATAATGTGGGATTTTATTCAGTTGTGTGTAAGGGGCCTTAGTAACCTATGAACTGTAGATTAAAAATTACTAGATTTTTCATGGCTTTCTTAATTTAGTTTCTTTGAAGAATGTAGTAGAATACACCAGACCACAACCCTATTTTTGTTATATCCAGGGTAAAGTGCTTATTATACACTCTAGTTTTATAAATAAATAAATTAACAAAATGGGCTTTATTTCTTTACTTATTTTACACACACACACACACACACAAATTTGTGGATAGTATTGAAAAGCGTACAAGCTACAGGTAAAAAGATTCCACCTGAACATTAGAAATAATTTAAGTCTATATGTTGCTGATCAGTTGTTTTTAGATAGATAGATAGATCAACTTTTAAGATGATCTAGATTGAAAATGGATAACTGAAAATATTATATATATTCACAGTGATGTCTATACTTAATATTTTAAAATTGAAATTCATGATCTTGCATCAGATCATTAAAATCTAGTTTTCAGTGTGGTAATAAACAAGGACCAAGGAAAGATACTTTGAGGCCAGACTCCCTCTCTCTCTAGATATATATACTTCAAAGCATCATACGTCATATTTATTATATTGAAATCTTCTGGTTGAACTGTAACAGGATATTTGTGATGCATATTTTTAGTTACTGTATGAAGTATGGTGTGTGTGAGCAGAAGTGTTTGATTATGGTACTGGGCAGAAAAATGGGTCTACTTAATTGTTAATACATGTTTCAGCAACTATTTAGTATGCATGATTATCCAGAAAATACATTATTTTAAATGATACGATCCTGATTTAAACCAAATTTAATTGGGTTACTTTAGCTGGTGCTTTAAAGGAAAAATTAATGTCTGTTCATCCTGATTCCATTGCTGGCATGAGTGGTTGTGTCTTTGTTGAAGCAGCATTGGTCAGCTAAAGACATAATCAAAAGCGTCGTTATGATCAATATTTTAATCATGGTAGTTGCTTTACTATTGTACAAGGACATCCTGAGACCAGATTCAAATCCCTCCCCTTCCATGGAAATCCACTGGGTGATATTGGGAAAGTTTCTCAGTCTCAGAGGAAGACAAGGGAAACCCTTCATTGAATACATTCTTCTAAGAAAAAACCCATAGTGATCTTAGGATAACCACAAAATACTGAATAAAAATATTAAGGCTGGGTACCTGGTTAAGAGGCAGAAATGGACCTAAAGTCAAGAAGCCTGGAAAAGTGGAAACAGAAATGAACACATCATGAGAAAGTGAAGACAGTAATTGTTATATCAAATCTAGGGCTTATAATAGAAGAGCATTCAAATTTAAAACTCAAGATGAATAGATGGATGCAGGACTTCACTTACAGTGGTACAAATATATGCAACTGAAAGAAAGATTTCTATTATAGTGAATCTAGTTTTGCTGCTTTTTATATTGCACATTTGTCTTTCAGTTGTTTTCATCAACCTTCTATTCTCAAGAATCTCAAATATGCCCTAAAGTATTACCTGACCGATGTGTATACACTAGTTAATAGCCATGGCCACCTCTGTTCTTCCAGTTCTAGAAATAAGATGGATATCTTGAGATATTAAAAAGGTTGTTATGGTCACAGTGGTATTTATTTATTGTGTCAGGCAACCGAACAGTTGTATTACACTGTCACAGTGGCGAAGTGAATGAAAGATACACTGGATAACACGTAATTGTTTTGTGTGTATTTGTGGGGTCATATTGACAGACTACAGCAGGCATCCTCAAACTGCAGCCCTCCAGCTGTTTGGGCCTTCAACTCCCAGAATTCCTGACAATTGAACAAGATTGTTAGGGCTTCTGGAAGTTGGAGGCCCAAAGAGCTGGAGGGCCGCAGTTTGAGGATTGTCTCTGGGTTGTCTAAGTCAGAAATGCTTGAAGGCACATGCCAACACACTTCCTTCTTTGGCAAAGCAAATTTGATTCTTCTCAAGATCACTGAGCATAAAACTTAAAACGTTTGTTCTGGCTCAGTTGTACTGGTTTGTATTCTAAATTTTGGCTTTGAATTTATTATGTGATCACAACAGCAGCAGAATGAGCTAAATTGCACTATTTCATGCAGAACAAAGCAGTCTCAACATTTGAGCCAAAGGAACCTTTAAAAGTATGCCATTGACATTTTTCAAAATGTAAAATTGTATAATGCCTGGGGTAGCTGCACATAGCAATGTGCTTAATTGCCATTTTATGATAATCCTTGATTGATCAAAGCATTTTTGAATGACTTCAGTTGAGAACTTCATCAGACCAGATTTTTTACTGCACTTTTGAATGGTTTTAAGCTTCCCTTGCCCCCTCCCCCCTCTCTCGCAGAGCTATTATTCCGGATGGCAAGATGCATCCCTTTCCCTGTTGAATTCACATGCTCATTTGCAGAAGCATTTTTAATATGCTTCAGATTCGTAATGGCCACCAAATTAAGTGCAACATGAAGTTTTGTATTAACTTGCTTAGAAATGGCATGGGAAGCAATTGACATTAATTCACAACCACCTTCAAATGACTTCTGGCACTTGCTTTTCAACTAGGAAAATTAAACTGGGTGGGGAAAAGATTTAAAATGCATCTAAAATGTCAGATCTTCTTTGCAGCTAGAATGCAGCTGTTGCCTATGTAAAGTTCAAGGACATTGACCTCTGTCATTTATCAGGTTTTTCAAACTTTTACTGGGTAGATGGAAAGAATTTCTGTATGACAATTGAGAAAGTTGTGTGTCTTGCCCTTTTATTGTCTCCATTTTCATTTGGTTTGTCTCTGCTGGATTTTAAATCAGAAAGACCTTTTCAACAAATAGGCTTGTCAGAGGAAAAGAGGATAGTAGAAGGACTCCTAGCAAACTGTTCAAAACAGGTTGACCCCTCCTCTTAATTCCTTGCTCACTTGCCCTTCTGGTCCCATCTTTCTCTGTTCCATTATCACTCTGTCAAACTTCACACTATGAACTCTTTTAGGAAGAATGTCCTTGAATATATGTAATGTGAAACATTAAGTATGTTGTTATATACTGGGGGGGGGGGTGGTGGTGGTGGTGGTGGATGGGCCTGGAGGAGAGCAGGAGGGGTGGGGGGCTGCCAACTGGGGGCCAAATAGGAAGTGGGCAAGCAAGCAAAGACTGCTCATTGTTAAACTAGTGACTAGAAAAATCTAGTTTTGCTGTTTGCCTGTGACTGCAAAGCCAGGCCATGACACACAACTGGTGGGCTGTGGTCTGCTTTGTGAGTCATAGGTTGTTCTGCCCTGTTCCGGAATAATGCACTGGAGTCCTCCAGAGCATTTATTTTGTAGAGGCTGGGATGTTTGGAAATAGGTGTTTTTGTTCTAATAATTCCTACATAATGGATACTTTTCCAAATAGGTCTGCAAAAATAGGAGATTTACTGTACCCCACTGTGGTGAAGTGAGTGGTATTACATGGATTGATTTCTGGATTATACGTTGTGCAGGAATTCTATTAAACATGTTCTATAGGTATCAAACTTACGTTACTGCTCTTTCTGCTCATAGAAATGTGCACTCTTCTTTAGGGAAATTCAACCTGAGAGATGGTTTATGTACCATACACTTTCACTTTGAGTCCAATGATCCAAAATCACAATTCTACTCAACGGTTTTAACTTTATGAAAGCATGTCAATTGTTAAAGTTTTTGGTCACTCAACAGAAACTAATAGTTCTTCATTTAACAGCCTGTGGTAAAGAGACATTTAGAAGAGAAGCATGTGTCTTTATTGCCAGTCCAGCAGTCCATGTTTTTTACCATCTGGCTTTCTCTTGCAGATGTTCAAGTTGTTACTATTCAAAACAAGCAAAAAAGAGTAGAACTTCAGACCCCTACTGTAGTGAAGGAAGCTAAACATGCCTAACCTCTCCCTGCTTTCAGCCCTTTCCTTCTCCATCAAAAGCTGATTGTCCTAATGTTAAAGGGACTTCATTTACAACGGCTGTCTTGCTCATTTATGAGAGATGTAATTTAGGTGCACAGTGCACACTGTATCAGAAGTCCCCCTCGGTTTTTGAGCAAGCCTACAGTCTTTAGTCTGTACAGTGACTATGACTATCTAACCTTGCTTTAATGGCTAAATTGGATAGGGTGTGACCTGTGAGGCACATATTTTATGTACTTACCCTTGAAGTCAAAAATCAATAATGATAACTGAAATCTTCTTGCTCATGCCTGTCATCAGTTGTTTCCCAACCACTCAGTTTTTAAGACTTCTCCAAGAGCAAAAACAAATTTTGCTTCTTTTCTTTCTGCTGCAGACAAAAGTGAAAATGGGGAACCTTATCAGAGAAGGAAAGGTGCTGGAGGTGGCCAGCAAGATGTTCCTACTCCATCCCAGACTCTCAAAGACAGTACTCCAGTCCCAGCAAGCTGCAGTTGGAGGCGAATCATGCTGCTCATCTTAGCAATAACAATACATAACATTCCAGGTAAGTGCCAATCTGTTTTTTTAAAAATGCCAGTATCCCATTCCTGAAGATGTGACTTGTCAAGGAGACAGAACAAGTTGAATGAGAACCTCCATATTTTATTTTATTCTGCAAAAAATTCACTACTGTTGCACTGTAGGCACTCTGCTGTCGTTGTAACAATTGGACAACACGAGCAAGATTACTTTTCATTTTAGGATACTTAGTTCTTGTCATGATGATCCCGCTTGACTCCTTTCATCCAAACACATAATACTTTGAATACAGTTCTTGCCATTTGTGTGGATGTTATCAAAATTATACCTTAAATTCAATTTAAGAAAAACGGAAAGAGGGATGTTAAACAATTTTAATTGTAAAGAATTGTAAAGAACAGACACACTTTAGATTATTATTATACAGTTAAGAAAATAGCCGCGAAGGAGTAGAAGGGAAGTCACCAAAGATCTGTAATATTTTTCTCTTTTTTTCCCTTTTCTCCTCTCCCCCCCCCCCCCAATTTGTGTGTACTCATGTCTTTTCTATGTTATACTTTATTGGAAAACTTTCATAAAAATTATTTCAAAATTCAATTTCAAATTGGCCCAGTAAAGATATTAACAATGTGATGGAAGTTGGCATCCTCACCAGATCCCTACAAGGAAGCAAATGGATGTGCTAACTCTAACATAGCATTTCTCCTTGTTTGAATTCAGTATTTTCCCCTGTTATCATTTTCAAACATTGCTTTTCTGTAGAAAATGAGAAAAATACAAAACATGAACTCTGAGGTAATTGGTTTAAATTGAGCTCTTATGCCTGATTTTTAAAGAGGCCATTTATGTTGAATATTAATTCATTTTTGAAAGATAAAAGAGATGGCCACATATCTCAAGGGTGACATTCCCATACTTTAAGTGTTTTAGGTGTCTTTGAGGGGATGGGGATTGTTTAGGAATGCAGGCTCCAAGAAAATGCGGGTGAAATGGCTGGTTGGGTATATAAGTGCTTCCCGCTAGAGAAGAGCTTATGCTTCTATTTTTTGTTCACTTTGCCTTTATATTCCCTTTGAACAGAAGTGTAGGCATTTGATAAGCAAAGGGTTTCCACTCTCCAGACTACTTGTAGTAACATAATGAAGGGTGATGCTTAATAGTGCTTGGAAAGCAATGCAGTGTGAGGTTTTTGATTAGCAGCCTCTAAAGCAGCCACTGATGACACAGAGAGAAAAGCAGAAGCTTATGCTAATGAATAAGAAACAGATTTTCCTGAGACGCTGTGTGATTCTGATTGCAAAGAAAGCGGAATGAAGCGCTGAAATATTCCAAAAGATTGTTGGGTTGTGTCAGATTCTCCCTTCGCTGCTGAAATGTTCATGTGTGCATTGATCCATCTATGATTAGATTTTAAATTTAATTTTAGCTGTTGTTTGCCTTAGGAAAATCAAAGGCTTACAAGGGGTAAGGAGACTTCTCCTTCTGGGGGCACCTTACCATTGTGAACACTTCCAGCATAATCTGTGAAAGTCAGAGTTTGATTAATATCTATCAAAAAAATGTGAAGAGAGTCCCAACCACTGATGAATCAATCATTTATTTATTTATTTATTATCCTGCTTTTCTCCCCTGGGTGGGATTCATAGCAGTGTAAAATGGTTAAAAAAACAGACTACATAGCATGCAAATTCAAACAAAAAAACCCCCATCATAAACCAAATAAACAAATTGCACACTACATAAACCATATATATAACAAATCAATAAATTACAGCCTATACCATTTAAAAATTACCTGAAAATTCAGTTGGGACTCTTGCTGCAAAGTTGTAGCTGGCACCATATTTTAAAACTAATGGAATTTCATCATTACCCTGAATCTGCTTTCTGGAGGCATTTTGCCAAGAGGGCTCACCCATCCATGGTATTTCTAGATTCGTTGTGTACCTTGGAGGATTCTTTTCATCACTTTACATTACAGGAAGATAAGGCAGGTGATCTGATCCATAGGATGTTCCTATTCTATGAATATATAATTTTACATCCTGTATGTAGAAAACAACAACAGATCTATGAGTCATCAGGATCTAGCCAATATTTGTTTTATAACCCATCAAGAATGAAGAGGAAGCTTGTTTTCTTCTGTTCTAGAGACTAGGACATGAAGCAACAAAGGCAAATTGAAGAAAAAGATATTACATCTAAACATGAAGAAAAACTTATTGATGTTAAGAGCTGTTTGACAGCGGAATATGCTACCTCAGAGTTCAGTGGAGTCTCCTACTCTGGAGGTTTTTCAGTAGAGGTTGGATGGCCATCTGTTGGGGTGCTTTGATTGTGATTTTCCTTCATGGCAGAGGATTCAACTGGATAGTCCTTGTGGTCTGTTCCAACTCTATAATTCACTGATTTCATGTACATGGTGGATGAGATGTAGGTTCCTGCAGATGGCTGTGGTTCTCTGGTGTGTGGTTGCTTGTTATACGGATTTTGGTTTCACCTTTCTGCCACAGTAACAATATTAAGATTTTTTAAAAAAAATAAAGGAAGTCCATCAAAGTTATAAAAACAAAAAAAAACCATTTTGATGCATGTCATAAGAATCAAAAGATCAACAATGAACTGAAACCGCTTAGGCTGAGCGACAGCATGTTTATTACATATATGAAGATGATTGTTTCCCTCTATGCCCTGATTTTGGGGGGGGGGGGCATTGAAAGGAACAATGCAGCAAGTGCCAGTTGTGTGCAGTAAATGATCCCTGCCATTATGTGTTTCCATAACAAACCCTTTATTGTAACTCTCCAGCTGCATAAAATTTGAAGAGCCATCTGAGTAAATGCTTGCAGTTAGAATGCAACAGAGAGTCAACTAGTGTCAAAGCAAACAATTTAAATCTCTATTATTGGGACATCTGCTTATTTTTCTAAGTTGGACAACAGGTTGTGTGCACTCTATTACATTGGTCTTGTGTTTAGCAGTGGGCAATCCCTTCTGTTGGTTGCGGTGTTTATCATTGACAAGGTTTCCTCAGGAGAATAGATGCACATTCACACATTTTCTTATCCATGATTAGAAAAAAATCGTAGCTTGTTGAGATACTCCATGAAAAACATGTTAACTGCCATGAAATGTGGGTGGGTTTTTTTTGGGGGGGGGGGGGAGATTTCAGTGATTTTAGTGACAATTTTTCAAATGCTTTTTTGTAAACCACTATTGCCATGTATTTTTTTCACAAATTACTGCACTAGCAAGTTTTTGCTGCACAAACTGTTGTATTGATGGTTTTCTGCATAAAACCACCTTTTGCATACCAAAATAAAATTTCAAGAACAAACCTGTGTTGTGAAATTTCCGCAAAATATCCTGATACGTGAAAAGAAAAGAGAAAAAAAGTTCTCATAGCTTAGTGGGAAGAAAATGTTACAGCTTTGGTTCTTCAATGCAAGAGTGAAATAACTAGGTGTCTATGCAGCAAAGTTATAACATGTAGTTATTTAAAGTGTGTGTGTATACATCAAGTTGATCTGACAACATGTATTTGGATGACCTGACAAGGTTCCCAATTTCCTCAATTTGTTTTTTTTTTTTAAAAAAAAAAAACATTTTCCTTGTCATCCCAATTTCACAGTGTTTATTGACCTCCACGAGCTGAAAAGCGTCCTAACCCTGCAAAATTTCCCACTTTTGGTCAATTTCTAATTTACTTCCTGAGTGGAAAAGGCCTCTCCTGGTCCTGAAATTTCATGTCCTATCTCGCAAATGAAAAAAGTGGTGATCCATTTGACTGAAATAATAAAAGAAAAAATTGAAATAGGGTGGGACATGTAAAGCGGGGTATGTTCCATGGAGGTAAGGGGGACGGGGGGGGGGGGGGGGGCGGAGGCAGGACAGATGGACGGTCCTAATAGGGTCTTTACATTCCTGGCAATTTCCCATCCTTGAGACACCTACTGCTCCACTCTGCATATTCAGATAGTTATTATGGAAGTCACTCACATTTGGCATGTCAGTGTACATTTGCATGTGAATGTAGATTATTCCTCTTTAGCATTTGAATGTGGATGCCTAGGTATCTCAGCAGGCTTTTGAACAGACTGTGTCTCTGTGAAAAGACTATCCTGATGATACACCTGTCTCATTCTGTTTTCTCTGGCTTTACATGAGGTGGAGTGGGGAGAAGTATCAAAGGGTGCTAATTAGGTGTCACCCGGAATGGGGAATGTCTCCAGTTGTGTCTTCTAGATGGAAAGACCCTTCTGAATAGTTTAAGAGCTATGAAGGCAGTCCACTTGTTCAAGATTATTCTTTTCAAAATTAATCTGATAAAGTGAGACAATACATAAGATACATTTAAAAAGAGAAGAAAATCAAAGCCATGTGACATGAGCTAAACAGTGCCTCTCAATTTCTACCTGTAAAAGGTCATTTGATTTGGAACTGAAAACTGTAATTAAGCTTCATCCCATTTGCAAAATTGTCAAGTAGTACAATTTAAATAGAGATGAAGAGAAATTAGGTGTACCTTTGTGGCTTGCTGTCCTGCTGCTCTGTCATGGACTTCATCCCCTCCTGCAAAACCATAAAGAGGTAGGACTTCAAGTAGGGTTGAAGGGAGAGTAGGTGTCCCTTATGACTTGCCATCCTGCTGCTTTTTCAGCTGGACACCGGCAAATTAGTTTTGTCATTCAAGGCCAAAAAGAAGAGGGTGAAAAAAGAATGACCTTTTGCAAAGCAGAAAACATTGTGCATCACCCCCTCTCCTTGACTCAGCAGTAGGTTAATGACAATAATCTCACTGTAGATAGAGACAGACCTTGAAAGATTTTCCTAACCTTCTAATGTTTCTGCTGAACACCAAGGGAGCCTAAATAACCCAAAGGCACAAGATCGTCTCTGATATTGGAAACTAAGTAGGTTCAGCCCTGGTTAGTCTTTGAATGCGATACTACCAATTATTGCCAGGTACTGTAAACTGTATTTCAGAGGAAGGATCGTCACCACTGTGTATTCTTTGTTCAAGAA